TCCGCCCCGGGTGCCAAATGCTCTAGGTACGCCCCTGGGAAGAGGCATCTTCTGCAGCTCTGTGTATATCTAGCAGTGTGGGTGGCTTCCTTGAGGTCCAGTGGGGACCGGGCTGACCAGGTAAAGGTTAGTGGCATGAGCTTCGATAGCTGCTGCGGGCTGCTGTACTCCAGTGGGGATCCCGTTCACAAGTGCCGAGAGGAAGTGATCTGAGATCACTGCACAGTTTGCACTAGCAAATATCTGAAGTCCCACTGGGACTCCTGATAGGCCAGATCTTGTTTGGCTCTGGCAGCCTTGAGTTCTGTGCAAAGACACCTCAAATGCCATAGGTTGCTGTTGCCTGGTCTAGAGCATCATTACTCCTCTCACACAGCACAAATACAGCAGGGATTGGCACACAAGGAAAGTACAAATGCAGATTTATTATCCAGACAGTCTTTGTGTTCCTGGCCCATCTGTACTCATTAGACGTGCAATTTGTTTCGGTCCGAATATGAATTCGGACGAATTTCAGGCAATTCGGACATTCGGGTACTTCTGAATGTCCAAATTGCCGAAGTTCAGAAATTACCAAATTTTCGAAGTGCCAAAGTATACTTACCCAGTGAAAGAAGAATGTTACATTGTATACAATTTTAAATAAAAAGTATACAAACATAGCCAGGATTCAGCTGTAAGCATTTGCAACACTTACAACAATCAAGTAACATACATTCATATAAAATGTAAGTTACTTAGCCTGTCAATGTAATGACAGGAATGAATAAGTAGATAAATCCCTAATTCCCACGGTATTAGGGAGCTATCTACTAAAAGGCTGAAAGACCTAAATTGGCCTTTCAGCCAAATTTACTAATACTATGTAAAGATTTCTTAGTATTAGTAAATTATGCCCCTACTCGCTATACCGCCTGTGGCTGCTCACTGTTTAAAAAAAAAAAAATTGCCCATTGTCCACCCCGGCCCCCACCCCTGAGCGGCGGGTGGAGGCCCTAATGTAAAATGATGGGGGGAGGCCTATTGTCCTCCCCCGGGCCCCCACCCGCCGCTCAGGGGTGGGGGCCCCCTCCCTTATTCCAATTTAGGGCACCACCCACCGCTCAGGGGTGGGGCAAAATTTACTAATACTAAGTAATTTTTACTTAGTATTAGTAAATTTGGCTGAAAGACCAAATTAGTTCTTTCAGCCTTTTGGTAGATAACTCCCTAATACCGTGGGAATTAGGGAATTATCTACTAAGCGGCTGCAATAGAAGTGCCGAAGTTCTCGAATTGTGAAAATCCAGAATTTCGGAATGCCGAACCAAAGATTTTCCCCATGCACATGCCTAGTACTTGTGTTGATTCTTCAATGAGTCAACCAATGTAGAGGTAAGTTGCAACATGGTCACTTACCTTTAAGTAAATGTATAAATATAATTTGATACATCTACAAATATATGGGGAAGAAGAGAGATATACAGTATCTCACAAAAGTGAGTACACCCCTCACATTTTTGTGAATATTTTATTATATCTTTACATGTGACTACACTGAAGAATTGAAACTCTGTTACAATGTAAAGTAGTAAGTGTACAGCCTGTATAACAGTGTAAATTTGCTGTCCTCTCAAAATAACTCAACATACAGCCATTAATGTCTAAACTGTTGGCAACGAAAGTGAGTAAACCCCTAAGTGGAAATGTCCAAATTGGGCCCAAAGTGTTAATATTTTGTGGGGCCACCATTATTTTCCAGCACTGCCTTAATCCTCATGGGCATGGAGTTCATTACAGTCTCTAGGGGTGCAGTACGGCTTTTGGGAAGACCAAGCAGGAGAGGGTTACAATAATCCATGCAGGAAATTATTAGAGCATGGACAAGCTCCTTGGTAGTATCTGGTGCAAGAATGGGGCGGATGTGGGCTATGTTTTTAAGATGGAATCTACAGGATTTGGCAACATACTGGATGTGAGGCTCAAAGGTGAGACCAGAGTCAAGTATGATGCCAAGACAGCGCACTTGCAAGGATGGGCTGATGTTGGTACCACAAACTTGAAGGGAGAGCGAAAGAGGAGGATCAGTATTAGGAGGAGGAAAGACAAGGAGCTCAGTTTTTGAGAGATTGAGTTTCAGAAAGCGGGAGGACATCCAGTCAGAGATGGAAGAAAGGTAAGCAGTGACACGTTGCAGGACAGCAGGGGAGAGGTCTGGGGAGGAGAGATATAGCTGGGTGTCATCAGCGTACAGGTGGTAGTGGAATCCAAATGAGGTAATAAGTTTGCCAAGAGAGGCAGTATAAAGAGAAAATAGAAGGGGACCAAGGACGGAGCCTTGGGGGACTCCAACCGAGACAGGGCGAGGGTAGGAGGTATCATTAGAAAAAGAGACACTGAATGAGCATAGGGAGAGATAAGAGGAAAACCATGAGAGGACAGAGTCACAGAGACCAAGCGATTGCAGAGTTTGAAGAAGGAGAGCATGATCAACGGTGTCAAAGGCCGCTGAGAGGTCAAGAAGAATTAGTATGGAGTAGATTAGTATGGAGTAGTGGCCTTTGGATTTAGCTGCGATTAGTAACTTTGATAAGGGCAGTCTCTGTAGAGTGAAGAGGGCGGAAGCCAGATTGAAGGAGGTCAAGGAGAGAGTTGGAATTGAGGAAATGAGACACACGGGTAAAGACAAGTCTTTCCAGAAGCTTTGAGGAAAAAGGGAGCAGGGATATGGGACGGTAGTTAGAGGGGGTGGACGGGTCGAGGGATGGTTTTTTTAGTATAGGTAATACAGTGGCATGTTTAAGGTTAGCAGGGACGATGCCAGAAGAGAGCGAGCAGTTGAAGATGTGTGTTAGAGAAGGCACGAGACAAGTGGAGAGAGATCTGATAAGGTGAGATGGGACATGATCGAGCGGGCAAGTGGTGGGGCGAGAGGAGCAAAGAAGAGCAGCCACCTCTTGGTCAGTGGCTAGGGAGAATGACTGAAGGGTAGGAAAGGCATGATCTATGTGTGATTGAGAAACAGAAAGGCAAGGAGGGGAGAATTCTTTCCTTAGCTGTTCAATTTTGTCAGTGAAGTAACATGCAAAGTTATCAGCAGTAAGGTTGGTTTGGGGGGTGGCCACAGCGGGGCGAAGAAGAGAATTTACGGTGTCAAAGACACGCCTGGGGTTGCGGGAACATGAACTAATGAGAGAGGAAAAATAGGACTGTTTGGCAAGGGCAAGGGCTGCACTGTATGAACACAATATGAATCTATAATGGAGAAAGTCTGACTGGGTGCGAGACTTCCTCCAGGAATGTTCAGCACAACGGGAGCATCTTTGCAGGTAGCGCGTTGATTTAGTATGCCATGGTTGGGGGCGGGTCCTCCTTGAGGTGCTTGTTTGGAGTGGCGCTGCAGTGTTCAAGGCAGATGTAAGAGTAGAGTTATATATGGAGATGGCCAGTGAAGGACAGGAGAGGGAAGGGATGGACAGCAGTTGTGAATCAATGTCAGCTGACAACTGTTGGAGATCAAGAGAATTAAGGTCCCTCCTGAGCTGAGGCTGGTTAGGCGGAGGTTGTTAGGTGAGGGGGTACGTGAGAGCAAACGATAAGAGGTGGTGATCAGAGAGTGGATACAGAGTGTTGCAGATATTAGATACAGTACATGCATAAGTGAAGATTAGGTCAAGGGTATTGCCAGCTACATGGGTGGGAGAATTTGCCCACTGTGATAGCCCAAGGGAGGAGGTAATTGAAAGTAGTTTATTGGCTGCAGAGGTCAAAGGTGGGTTTATAGGAATATTGAAGTTCCCGAGAATTAGGGATGGGATGTTAGAACAGAGGAAATAGGGTAGCCAGGTAGCAAAGTGGTCAAGGAAGAGAAGAGGGGAACCAGGGGGACGGTAAATAACAGCAATGTTAGCAGAGAAGGGTTTGAAAAGGCGAATTGGGTGTATTCCAAATGATGGGAAAGAGAGGGGAGGGGGGGTGGGAAGAGGTTTAAAAGAGCAGTGAGGGGAGAGGAGAAACCCAACACCACCACCTTTACATTGAGAGTTTCTTGGGTTGTGGGTAAGTTGGAGACCACCGAAGGACAAAGATGACGGGGTGGCAGTGTCAGAGGGGGAGAGCCAGGTTTCTGTTAAGGCTAGTAAATCTATTGAATGAGAGATGAAGTAGTCATGGACAGCAGTGGGTTTAGTTATATTGCAAACAGAGCGTGCGTTCCAGAGGGCAGTATTGAAGGAGGATTTAGAGGAACAAGAGATGGGTATGAGATTAGTGTGGATCCTTGGGTTAGTATGTGCTGAGTTTGTTGAGAGGGGACCGGGGTTTGGAGAGACATCACCAGCTGCTAGGAGCAGAAGGATAGAAAGGAAGTGAAGGTGGGAGTAGGATTTGAAAGTTTTGTAGGAGGGTATGTATGTAGAGGATTTGGAAAGAGTTGGTGGAGATAGGCTGGAAAGGTATATGTAGAGTGCATGGGATGAATAGAGAGGGGAGGGGAGTAAGGTGGAAGTAATGATGATGGCGTTGCCAGGGACAGGTGAGTGAAAGGATAGGGATATTTTAGTAATGACAGAAGTTAATGTTAAAGTGAAAAATAGAAGGGAGAACATTAGAGAAAATGTGTATTATATAGATATGTAGATCATATATACAAACACACACAAATATCAATAAGTGTTTAATAATAATAAAATATTAACCCCTTAAGGACGGAGGGCGTACTATTACGCCCTGCAGGAGCCGGCTCTAAACGCCGGCGGGCGTAATAGTACGCCCTCACTTTAATGGCCGCCCACGTGGCCGGCGCTATTCGCCCGCTGCAGATCGCGGTCGGGGGGGGATGCCCGGCCCCCCAGGCAACCCCCCCTGTGGCCGGGGACCGCGATCTGCAGTCACTGATCGCAGTGACAGGCTGTCACTGCGATCAGTATTTAACGTGTGTCAGCCGATTTCAAATCGGCTGACACACGTGGCCGGCGGCTTTCTGCAATGCAGATCGCGGTCGGGGGACTTACCTGGCCCCCAGGCAGTCCCCCTGGGGTCAGTGACCGCGATCTGCTAGCTCTGAGATCGCAGTGACAGGCTGTCACTGCGATCTCAGAGCGCTCTGATCGCAGTGACAGCCTGTCACTGCGATCAGTGTTACATGTGTCAGCCTATTACATGTTACATGGCTGACACATGTAACAGGCACAAAGATCCCCCCTGCAGATTGGAAGGGGGGAGTGCTTGTACCACCCAGGCACTCCCCCCTGTGGCCAATTACCCAATCTGCAGGAGGTGATCACAGTGACAGGCAGTCACTGTGATCACTGATCCTGTATGTCAGCCAGTGATGTAAAATCACTGGCTGACACTGTCTCTGCCCCCTGTCCTGTAATAAAATTAAAATATTAGTTAAAAAAAAAAAAATACAGTTAAATATAAAATATACTTAGATCATATATATTATATATATATATATATGATCTAAGTATATATATATATACACACACACACACACACATTTACACATACACGAAGTGTATTTAAATATTAATATATATAATTATTTATATATATTACTATCAAATTACACGTAGACTAATACTGATTAAATATATATATATATATATATATATATAATTATTGTTATATATATATTTATATATAATATAAAAAAATGTAAATACGTAAAAAAAATTAAATTAAAAAAATAATTAAAAATAAATAATAAAATATATAGATGTTTGTTATTTCGTTCTAACTGTATTGTGATATTAATATATATATATTTATATCAAAATACACGTAGAACGAAATAATATATATATCTATATACATAAATATATACATATATCACTAAATATATACACCTATATATAAATAAAAATATTTTAAAAAATTATATATATATATATGTATATATACACATATGTATATATATACATATATTAATTCTACACATATATTTATGTAATATTTTTACATAATTAGGTATCCTAATTAATTACAATTAGCGGGACCTGCCTGACAACCCATGCCGAAAGTATAGGGAATTTAATTTGCTAGCACTATATTTAAACCTATAACTTTCCAAGACACCATAAAACCTGTAAATTGGGGGTACTGTTTTACTCGGGAGACTTCGCTGAATACAAATATTAGTGTTTCAAAACAGTAAAATGTATTACAACAATGATATCGCCAGTAAAAGTGAAGTTTTTTGCATTTTTCACGCACAAACAGCACTTACACGGATGATATTATTGCTGGAATACTTTTTACTGTTTTGAAACACAAATATTTGTGTTCAGCGAAGTCTCCCGAGTACAACAGTACCCCTCATGTACAGGTTTTATGGTGTTTTCAAAAGTTACAGCGTCAAATATAAGGCTTGTGTTTCATTTTTTTCACATTAAAATTTGCCAGATTGGTTACGTTGCCTTTGAGCCCAAGAATGAAAATTACCCCTATGATGACATACCATTTGCAATAGTAGACAACCCAAGGTATTGCAAACGGGGTATGTCCAGTCTTTTTTAGTAGCCACTTAGTCACAAACACTGGCCAAAATTGGCATTTTTGGCATTTTTCACACAAACAAATACTAACGCTAACTTTGGCCAGTGTTTGTGACCAAATGGCTACTAAAAAAGACTGGACATACCCCATTTGCAATACCTTGGGTTGTCTACTATTGCAAATGGTATGCCATTATGGGTGTAAATTTCATTCCTGGGCTACTATACAGTCTCAAAGGCAACGTAACCAATCTGGCGAATTTCAATTTCAAATGTAACGTGCTATATTTGACCCTGTAACTTCCCAAAACGCCATAAAACCTGTACATAGGGGGTACTGTTTTACACGTGAGACTTTGCTGAATACAAATATGTGTATTTTATTGCAGTAAAAGCAAACAGTATTATGACATTGACCGTTAAAATGTCATGTAGAACTAAAAAAATTAAAAAAAATCTTATTTTCTCCCATTTTTTTCATATTAAATTATGTTTCATAGCTAAATATTTGATATTAAATGAAAGCCCTGTTTCCCCTGAATAAAATGATATATAATAAGGGTGGGTGCATTTACTATGAAAGAGGTGTATTACGGTTGGACAGACATGTAGCGCAAATGCCAGGTTTTGTTTACATTTTGTTTCGTTCACACTGTGTACATTTGGCTCCGTCCTTAAGGGGTTAACAAAAAAGTAAGGGGTGCACTCACTTTTGTGATACTGCATTGGATTTCTCACGGTTCATCCCAATTTCCAAACTTTGAAACTACATATGGACTAATCACAAAAACTACATATGGACTAATCACAAAAACTACATATGGACTAATCATGAATGGACGAGCCATTTTGTTTGTTTCATGGTTTCGAGTTTTGTCTGTGGCACCAAAACAAATAATGTTTAGTTAATGGTTAGTGGACGACTACTAAATGTTGATTTTATTCACAGATCAAGTGAGAAGTGACCAATAGAGGGGAAAAAGCAAAAACCGTAAAAAATAAATCTATATTTATATATTTAACGACAAATAAATACACATTAAATTTTTTAATGTTCCTCTTGTTTTTCCCTCTATTGGTTACTTCTCACCTGATCTGGAGAGTAATTGGCAGGAAAGTGTGCCTACTAGTGTACTGTAAAATATATACATAATGTTTATATTTACAGTAAATTGATTGGCCATTTTTTTCACCCTTATTGTTTGTCCAAAATATTTTTCCGAAACAATTGCATGAGCAAATTTTAAACTGAAAGTCCACAGACAAATCTAAAAAAAATTGTAGACATTTTTTTTTTTGCTGTTCACACGTCTAATACTTACATAAAACTTTCTTCCTCCATATCCCCCCTCCCCTGTGATCACTGTGACATCTACCCAATAAAATATGTAAATCAGCTGTGATGTGTACAATTGCAGGCAATTTAGCTAGCACAATGCATGGATAATATGTTCTTTTTAAAGCACTAACATGTCATTTTCCATGACAGTACACTTTTAAGTGTATTCATGATAATTAGGACTGATAAGAAACAAAGTATAGAATGTGATTACAATCTTAAATTATACATTTAATCACAATAATTTGATCCATTAATTACCACAAATTGCACAGCACAATTAAACATGTTGAGCCATTACTATTAATAATACATGCTATTAGGACTCAAAATGGAATGTCCTATGTTCCTAGTCATGCCTAAAAGTTGCTTGCCACTGCAAACCTGGAGGGTCCATGGCACACTCACTACAGGGTAATAATTTCTATTCATCAAGGCTGGATTTTCACTAACTAATGGCTAACAAGTGAGTGGAAATTCTCTAGAACAGTAGTCCTCAAGATTCATCAACAGTCCAGGATTTTCAGTATCACCATTAGAATAAAAAAGTGAAATACATAAATCCTGGATTGTTGGTGGGCCATGAAGACTGCTCTAGAACATTTGCTTTGTCCAAAGGTGCCAAAAAAACTGTTGTAAACTCAGGTAATCCTTTGCCAGCCTTAATGAAATTGTATTTCTATATATGATTCTAGACTTTTAGTGCATAATAGAGATAACGAAATAAAAATACAGAAACAAAAATGAAGTAAAAAGTTACATAGCCGCAAAGTGCCCCTAGATGTGCTGCTTAGTGAATCTGATCAATCTGAGCAATTCATTCTGATCTATGTAGACTGATGGCTTATTATAAAGCCCTGCCCAGCAGGATTTATTTTTTTTGTCAATCTTTGACAAGCCACAGAATAAATACAGTACAGATGTATGAAAATATATGTCAAAATAATGGATAAGGACACAACATAGAATAATAATAGGACACATCTTCTGGAACTGGAACTGGATTTTTTTCCAATTTTGTATTATAATAAGTAAAAGTACAATAGTAGCTTTAACAGAATGCTACCTGTATCTGTGTGGTGCATAGTGGCATTAATATAGGTCACTTAAGGCAAGTAGCTTCTGGGTAATTTAAGAATAATTAAAAGGTCAAAGCCTCATCGTAGGCTATAGAGGCCAAAAACCCCTCATAAAATTCGGCAGTGTAAAGTCCCAAATGACTAATAAGTAAAGAGGGGCAGGGGGGCTTAGTTAGCTGATATGTCAGGTACAGTAAGAGCTATCAGCCGAATAAAGTAGTAAAGTAGAGCGAAGCAGGGTGTACCACAGAACATTACGTACTTGCAAAATTTCACCAACAGGGACCATGAGAAATTATAAGAAATGCAAAAACGTGTCTAGAAGAACATAAACAAAATAACAAGGCATTAAACTGCCAAGGGTGTCACGAGAGAGTCATGACATTTGGGCTGAGGATGCATCTCAACAGCAGGCTGCAGGTACAAACGGTCAGCCCCTTTCATGGTCTCATATCGCAGATGTCAACAGAGGTGTAGTCGGTGGCTCCGCTGTATGAGTTGAGAGCCCTAGTGTCTGCAGGGTATCTGCTATCTCCGTTGCCTCTCCAACTGATTTCTCTGGGGCTTTAGGTGGTGAGATTGTTGCCCTGCTGTCTTGTCGGGCTATGGGGTCTGCCTCTCCTCTCAGGGATTCTTCGCTGGAGGTTCTTGAGGGCCCATCGGACATCGGCGCCATCATAGGACCTCAGCGTGGTTTGTGGCCTCCACCTCAGATTGCCATTATCGGCCGTTGTTAGAGACCTATCAGGTTTGTATTACTTGCTCCGACGCCCCGTGACTTTAGGTAAGTGTTGGTAATAATTTAAAGTCGAGCAAAGTTAGTTTTTCGGTGGGTTTTTTTTAGCAAGTTTTATCCGATTTTGCTTGGAGCTCTGAATAGATCCGACTGAGCAGTATGATCACCAGCTCCGCCTCCCCTCCCCCCCCAGCAGGAGTTTATGGTATCCCATGCTTACACTGAGTTATTCACTGAAGTGAAAATTGTTGAGAATTCAATATGAATTTCAAATGTGAGGCCAATATTGATGAGCTGGAAATTTGACATTTGAAGTGAATCATGAACTGGTAGGAGCCATACTGCAGCTGCTATCAGTTTATATACATTATGTTTCTCTGTTTAATGAACCGGTGTGTGTTTTGCTATCTGCTCAAGGGAGAGCCTTCTTTATTTTTTGTGTGGCATGCACGTGATGCTCGCACAGTAGAAACAAAACGGATATAATGTAACACAGTGTTCCAGGCTGTCATAGCAGAAATGATTTTAACAAATTGCCAACATTATAGGCCTCTCAGAAATGAGAATGGACCCAGGATGCTCTAATATCACAGAATTTGTGTTTCTACACTAGCTGGAGATCTCCCTTTTCATACCCTGGCATAGAGTATTAGATCTAAAACCTTGGAGCATGGGTCCTCAAACTCCATCCCCCCAAATGTTGCTGAACTACAACTCCCATGATTCTTTGAATTTCATAGAGAGCCAGAGAGTGGGAGTTGTAGTTCAGCAACATCTGGGGGGCCGGAGTTTGAGGACCCATGCCTTGGAGCTATGAAAAACAAAATTAGGCATAGCCATCTGAAATCAAAGACAACTAGCACTTATGAGGGTATTTACTAAATCGCTGCTAGTGAGTAAATAGTTCAGATTTTTTTAAAGTGTGTGCGTACGTCAATCCGTCCGTCCCAGAGGAGCCTCCAACAACCAGTAGCTCCACCAGGTTCCTCTCGCGAGATGGGACCGTTGCCGTGGTTACTATGGCAATGCTTCGGTCTCGCAAGAGTGAACTCTAGCTCCCCAGCAGTGGCGTACATACCAGGGTCGCAGGGGTCGCGGCTGCGACCAGGCCCGGCCCACCAGGGGGCTCGGCCGCCCCTGCGACCCGGTGTGTACCCACTGGGCCAGCCTCTTCCCCTGGGGGGCCCAGGAGGCGGCCACCCCAGGGCCCCCCGAGGCTGGCCCTGCTGACACCCGGAAGGCGGGCAGGCGGGCGCGCGAGGGAGCACTCAGTGCTTCCTCTTCAGCTCCCTCGTGCACCGCACTGATACCGGAGCCGGAAGATGACATCATCTTCCGGCGCCGGCATCCCTACGCTCCCTCGCGTGCCCGCCTGCCTGACCGGCCACCTGCCCAGGAGCCCAGCAGCACCACTGGACCCATGGGAATCCCCCCAGCACTCCAAAAGGTAAGGAGGCTGGGGGGATTACATTTAAAAAAAAAAGTGTGTGAGTGTTAGAGTGTGTGTGAGTGTTAGTGTGTGTGAGTGTTAGAGGGATCCCTCAGCCTCTCAGCTCCGAATGCGACCGCGCACGCATTCAAACCGCCCATAGGAAAGCATTACTCAATGCTTTCCTATGGACATTCAGTGTGCTCCTCTAGCAGCTGTCAGTGAGACAGCCACTAGAGGCTGGATTAACCCTCAGTGAAACATAGCAGTTTCTCTGAAACTGCTATGTTTTCAGCTGCAGGGTTAAAACTAGAGGGACCGGACACCCAGACAACTTCATTGAGCTGATGTGATTTGGGTGTCTGTAGTGGTCTTTTAAGTGTGTGTGCCCTGTAACCCCTGCGACCAGGTGTCCACCGCCATGTGTTGCGGGGGGAGGGGGGGCACGGATCAATTTTCGCACCGGGGCCCCATGGGTCATGTGTACGCAACTGCTCCCCAGGCTAGAGTTTACTCACCGCTAGGACCAACAGGGATTGCAGCAAGATTTACCCACCCAGGCAAAGGGTAAGAAGGGAGGGGGGATACACCACTTTTTTAAATTAAAAAATAAATAAATAAAAATACACATACAATATATATGCATGCATCTGCCTCCCCCACACATACACAAAATCCCTCCAAACATATTCACATACTGCACCCCTCAAACATACAGAACCACACCACACTCCGCTCACTCTACACACACGCAATCCCACAAGCTGACTCCAAACACATGCACAATACGCTTTCCTGGCCCTTTTGTCTCCTGGTATTCCACTTATGAAGACACCAGAGACAAGGTAAAAGCAAACACAATGCAAGCATGTGATTAAATTTGCTTGTGCTGCGCAGATCAAATACAGGGCTTTTTCCTCATGCTAGAGCTCTTCAGCAGAGCTCTGCGCATGGTCTACCCTGGAAGAGCATTGAACCAACACTCTTTGAGAGTGCATGCTTGTCATTGGTGATGACAAAATACAGCCTCTCCGATCCCCTCCCCCTTCACAGTGGGCCGCTGTGATTGCCGGGTTGAAATTTTTTCCTGTCCAGTCCTGGTGTGGTGAATGCATAATGTGTGTGCATTAGTTTATGGGGTTAGATAGGGGCTGGGGGTGTGAGCTATTTATTTTTACATTTATATTTAAGGTTTATTCCCCGCTTCCTGCCTCTTACCTGCGGCCAGGGAGGGGGGGCGCTAGTTTCCCTGGTGGTCTTGTGGAACAACGTCTTGTATGGTGAAGAGGGAGATCCAGCAGACTTTGATTGGAATTGTTTTGTTGGTGACATTAAATTATACTTTGAGTGGAGATGTATTTTTAACAAATGAGAGCTAAACATTTGTGAGATGATTATTATAAAAACACTAGCTACCGCCAAGCTAATCTGCAATCTTAAAGGAGAACTCCGGACATCATAACAGCTTCACCGGAATTAAATTGTTATGGTGCCAGAAGGTCCCTGGCGCCGGCTTAGCTTTAGGGGTTAAACCTTTCACCGGTGCTGTTTAGCTCTGCAACTGTCCTTCCTCTGCTCTCAGATTCTTCAAACAGGAAGCCGTGGAATTGCCACAGACAGGTTTGGCACTTATTGCAATAGCCTCCTGTTTATAATTTGTTGTGATCTGCTTGTTACCTGCCATACCTATTACATTACATTATAGTAATATGGTAGAAGCTTGTTCTTTTAATAAACATTACATTCTAATAGTATTGCGTTTGTGTGTTTGTTCATCCTACAGTCAGCATAATCTGAAATGTTGTCATACAGATACAGCTGCCACCCGGCCACCTACCAGCAGGCAAACTCCATACTGTGTCTCCACATCCCGGCACTGGTCAGCCTCTGCTGAGGGTCTTCAGAAAATGTTGACTCCATTCTCTGCCTCATTCCACGTGCAGGGTGTTGCCATGGCACCAAAGATAGCCAAGCCTGATTTCAAGCAGATTCGCACACTTGGAAATTACAAAAAAAAATCACGGAGCCACCATAAGGCTCTGTATAGTCATCTTCTACTTGCCCTTACGCATAATAAGATAAAAAACTATTTGCGTCCTCTCCTTTATACTTAAAATATCAGAGGAGGACACATAGAGCATTTAACACATTTATGTTAAGAGAGACCAAAAAATTAAAGCATTTGGAAGCAAGTCCTACAACACGTGTGGAATAATAGAGCTCACAGCAGGTGATATGTTTTTCCGAGAAACCATCAAATGCCTGTTTGCATGGGATTTCAATATTCTATAAGAATCTAGCTGAAAGCTATGTTTATATATGTATGGCATATGGCACACGTTATTTCATTTTGTACCTCTCTTTGCTGGGGGGGTTATAATGTATCCAAATTCCAAGAATGTAGGTTAATCCAGTATTACATTTGTACAGTCAGTTCATGGTTTTAATATCTAGGAATCCTGCCACTCTGTGAATCACCTCTTTACTTAACGTTCAACTAATCCCAGTGCGATGCAATTCGATTTTAAGAGATTTCATTAATGCTTCATAATTCAGCTGAATGTTTATCCCCTGCGGAGGCTGCAGATAGACATTGGAAAGACGTTTGTCTCCTTTGTAGGAAAGTGATTGTGGTTTCAGGGTTCTAACGACAATTTAGTTGTTTTTTTTTTAATTACAGATGGATTTGCAATCATTAATGGAGAAATGAAATCGAGAGTAAACAGTACTGATGACACTAATCTTTAAAGCAGTGGTACTCAACGTTTCTGGGCAAGGAACCAAACTGTGCATGTGGCAGTAGCTTGGTGAACCGTTCCTCAAATGGAAATTTAAATCAGTGACCCCTTCTGCAACGGCTGTGCATTGTACATTAAATTAAATTCAGACAAATCCTTTACTAGATGTTTTCCAGTCTCAGAAGGGTCTCTGTTGCACTGGTGAACGCTGCGCTATTATGGTAAATGTTTTATTGTGAGCAGTTACCTGGCAGCTGGTGAAAATGATGTGCCCCTTCCAGCCAGTGGGGATCCACTGAACTGACGGGTGGACAATTTTTAACATTTCTAATATAGTCCTCATTAGTCCTAATAACAATCTGTCGCCTCATGGCAAGTGTTTGAGACGTATTGTATATTAAACGCCCTGGGCAAGATTTTCATGCCAGGTGCCTGTAGGCAAAGAATTGTAAGGTGCCCCCTGAGTCCTTAAATTTGGGACTAAAGAAAGGGGTTGTTTAGGTTTTGCGAGGTGCTAAATTTAGGATTAGAGGAAAAATGGAGTGATTAGGGTACAGCGTGGAGTTAAAGGGTTATTTGCAAAGTACTCACCCTCCTGTGATTGATATCAAAACTGCATGATTTCATTTACATTGTGCCAGTGATGGAATGAACGTAGAGTGCCCTGCTGCAATATTTTTTTGGGCCCTTCCTATTGCAAGGGTGGCCAAAAGGTAGATGCCCATTTGTCATACAACTCCCACAATGCTTTGACAGCTGCGACTGTACAATTT